GGTACCCTGTTCGGATTTTTCGAGACACTACTGCTAACCATAGTATTGTGTTGAAAGGTGCTTTTCCCTGTGTGGAAAGTGACTATACTGGTGAGCATGTGTTATTGAAAGGTGTCGGTCGTTTAGTCACTGTTTCTTTAAGTAGGATGTTCTTGAGGAGCGAAATGGTTTCTCAGTGGTGTTATCGTTTTGCTAGCTAATGACATTGCTGGTACTCGTGTTGTCCCGGATTATGACCACGACTCCTACGGTGGTCAATAACACTAAATTGCTTGAAAGTCAGTACCTTGCCTGTGTTGTTACCAGAAGTACTGTATGTCGCTTAGAGAAGAGCAGAATACTCGTGTTGACCTTGTTCCTAATGTAGGTGACACAAGTGGTGCAGTTTGTGATGTAAATGACTTTGCTATTATGAACCTATATGTGTCGCAAGACAATTCTGTTGATGACAGTGAGTCGTATTTGACGGAAGTCAGTGGCGATAATCCCCCTGAAGTCACTGGTGAGGTATTTGACAACTCCCTCTCATCTAGTGTTGATTTAACTTTGAATAGTGATGTAAACCTTATAGAACAAGTACCCATAAATAGGAAAAGATTAATTTCTGATCAGGTAAGTGATCCATAATTGTTAGAGCTGAGTAACAGTACTGTAAGCAAGGAGGAAGCTGATGACGTGTCTGTTTGTTACTATTCGGACTCTGGCCTCTGATGAGGAAATTTAGACCACCCTCAGTACCTACTGGGGAAGACTGGCATGTGAATAGGCGGAACTCTACTGCTCCAGGGAAGCGATTGTGTGTGTTATGGAGACCCAGGAACCACAGGAACAAGAGCAAGATTTCCTGGTGGAGGTTCCAGTTAATCTATACAATTCACAGATTTTAGATGATCCTTCTTCTAAAGTTTTACATCTTTCACAGCTACAAGTTGAAGATGTCAAGAGGAAGATTCTGAGGGAGGAACTGGAATATTGGCTTCAAACCGAACTCATCGAACCAAGCGACAGTGAACCGACTGGTTAATTTAAAGTTAACCAGGTTGGTACATTTATATTATATTGGGTTTTAGTAACGAAACCCAATATAATATAAATGTACCAACCTGGTTAACTTTGAATTAACCATCCGGTTCATTAAGGTGGCAGCGGTGGGATTGAGGTACAATACTACCAATTGGGAATTGCGTACGCTGTAATTTGACATTGTTGTGATATACCAGAAAATCACACAAATAACATCCTTTCTTCAATATTCTTTGAACGCCTGTTCTATTCAGAACTAGTACGTCTGTCAAACCACCAGGTCGTATCGTGCTTAACTTCGACTAGCACGACAACACTTTCGACCTTGTTGTATGCAAAGGTGCAGAATGACGCATAACGTTGTAGGAAACACCTTTAAACGTAATAGTATTATTACGTGAACGAACATCTATCTTATTCGTTCTGAGCGTTGGGAGAACAATTAATCCGTCATCTGGCAAATGAAAGTGCTGGACCACATAAAAGTCAGCATAGAAGGGAGTACCACGTCTTGTAAATCTAAGTGGTAACGTCACCATTCCGTCAATACTCAGCTGCGCGCCAGATTCTCCTTCGAGATCGGAGTCAGTTGGTCTCCACTGGAAATCACGGTGAAGGAATCTACGTTGTAACTCCTGATAGGATGTCAAGGACAAAACATTTGTGCATGCACCCGTATCAATATCAAGAGCCAATCTTATATTATCCACTCTCACCAGCAGGGGTAATACTTCCACTTTACTGCTACAGAAGTGTTGTGGGAAGCAGGCACCAATGTACTGTACCTACCCTTCCTCGTGTTGTGACAGGCGCTGGTCTTCCCCCGACTTCTTGTCCTGGTAACAATGCGCTTTACGCTTCTGCGTTACCTGGGGTACACTAGAGTCCAAATTCCTAACCTTCAACACTAAGTTGCACTCATCTGTGTTGTGAGATGCCGACCGATGGAGTGCACACCACGATCGTGATTTCTGGCTAGGTGGAGGCGTAGTCTTAACCGCATCCGTGTATGACCTCGGCGTCTGCTTAGCACCTGTGGTCTCGGGTATTTTAACACCACCGCCCTGGAGCTGAAAACAATCATCGATCAAATGGCCCCATTTATTACAGTGGGTACATCTCAGAGATTGACATTGCTTGAAAGTCCGGTGTTGAGGTGCAATGGGAGCCAGCGGTGTCATTTGCGCTTTCTGGGGAGGTGCTGAAGCCTGGGAAGAATGCGCCATCAGAGGTCCCGTCACCTTTGGAGAAAGTTTGATTGCGTAATCCACCATATGAGTAGGCGGGACAAACTGCACTTCCTGTGCCCAGCCCGAGATAGGACGACGAACCACTAATAGGAAACTAATCAACTCGATTAGTGTTTCCACATTTGTCGATGACATTTTTCCATCAGAGTAGTACCATCCCGAATTCCGGAAGCTCACCTCCATGTCTTGACGCACTTCCCAGGCAATGTCAACAGCCACCATAGGTGATTCTACGTGAACCACCGGAGCACAACGATCCAGCCATCTGAATACCCACTGCAGATGGCCCAAATGGGACCCGCACTCAAAAATTCCAATTAGGGTGTGCTTAAACTTCTCATAGTCAGGGGCCGTTAGGCCATACGCATTTAAGTGATTGCTAGCAAGCTATCCCTGTGGAATGTGAGAATGCACAAACGCCTTTTTATCATGATCATTGGTAATTTTGACCTCGCGCATAGTGTCCTCATACGCACGGATGAAGTGTGTAACACAATATTCAACTTGACCCGTATAATCACGTACGTGGTCGGCATGTGGCATCATATGAAACACATTATCTGGGTTAGTTGACGTGGTAGCATCATTGCGTAAAGTGTTAGAATAAGCCATGTTAGCGTTAGAAGTTTACAAGCCAGTACGTTTACTCCTAACAGAAGGCTCAGTTAAGGGGCGGGGTAATGATAAATCAACCGATACACTGCCACCCAGAACAGGATTAGAAACTACCTGTGAATGTCCAGGCGAGGTACTATATTGATTCCCCGACCCTAAGGTACGACGGTTTATATCGTCAAATGAATCCTCATTCAACTGCTCACTACTCTATCGAAACGTCTAACTGTGTTTCCGGCTTAAATCCTAACTTAACCTCTGTAGTAGATACTTGACGTTTATCCTTTATTTGTGATTCGTCAGCAAAAAGTTCTGCCAGGTCAGTAAGGTCTTCAGACCACAACTTTGAAAACTTTGAAAATTTATCCATTAAGTTTCATTTGGGTCAGACAATGATTAACAGTAAGACCAAAATACTTGCCTCTCATGTACAGGAAATGATAAATATTATAGTTAAAATAATTAAAGTATCATTAAAGTATCATTAATTGAACAGGTAAGAAATAACTACTGTAAATTATATTACGTCAGTATACAGTAATATACGAAAGACACTTACAGCAATGACATAACCTATCCGATGACCTATCAATGTGGAGTTATGTCTCGAACATGTAAATGTGTGTATAAAATATGTTACTTTTGAAATACCTAATACAAGAGTTATGGCGTCTGTATAGAAAACGCGATCCGTCCAGCTGCTGTCTCTGGTGGGGTGGGTGGTGTCGGGTGAATTCTTCAATCGTCCCTCTGCGCGCGCTGCTGTGTTGCGTATGTCAGGTTGCCTAGCAACAAGTAGACGGGCTGCAATGACAAACGTCGGGTGAGTTCACTTCACGACAGGGGAATACCTCCACAGTATGATCAGACGCTGCTGAGTAAGACGAATCAGGTCCTCTGCCCGCTGATACGATGTCACCTCTTCTGTGTGCCAAACTTACTGCAATCCTGTATATATGGAGGACAGTCAGATGACACCGGAAGTACTGCAATCAATGATCGTGAAACCACAACAGCCATCCAGACACTTGTGAAAGGCCTTTGTGCTAGTAAACCCCGAAAGATGTTGAGAATGTCTGCAACACTGTAAACGATTTAGCACAGGGGAAGGATGCTGACAAGACGCTTTCCTGACCGCCCTCACTTGTCGCTAACAGGGATATCACCAACGAACCGTATGGTACTAAGTCAACAATAACTCAATATCGGTTATTGGAATAATTCTGCACCTCCTCTGAGCGACAGAATGAGAAGCACTCAATTACAATCATCTCAATACGGGATATAGTACAACACTCGGATACGTTATGTAAAGCGTCACTGTTTTTCACTGTGTTTCACGCTCATCTCCATAATTTTTTTTATTTTTTTTTTATTTTTTTATTGGGCACTCCCCTACATCATTGTGTAAGGTGAAGCGCAGAAGCGTGTACAGCGCCCAACAAGGAAGCATGCTAAGTTCATGCTTGCCTTTATGTCTCATGAGTTAAGGGCGTAGAAACCTGAAGAGTCAAGGGCGTAGAAGCCTGAAGAGTCAGTGGTTTATGTCATCAAGTTATTGGAAGCTCCAACAACTTGTCCCTGAATACGAATTCGCAACTTTCGACTAACAACAGGTACCTACTTTACGGCTAGGTGAACAGGGATTAATGGGGGCTAGGAAGTAAGTCCAAACAACTTCCACCGCCCGGGAATCGAACCTGTGACATCTCGCTTGCGAGGCAAGAACGGTACCGCTCCAGTCAATGTAAAGATAGAGCCTCCACAGCGATTCACGCCTCCTGCAGATCGAAAGGCTCTGTGTAGGTTCCTTGGTATGGCAGGATTCTATCGAAGGCTTAGCAAGAACTTTGCTTAAGTGTCGGCTCCTTTGACAGACTTAGTCAGCCCAGAAAGGAGATATTTGTGGACAAAAGCATGTCAGGTTACATTTGAAACCCTTATGCATCTATTAACCTCCAGTTCAGTGTTAAAAGTGCCAGATTTTGAAAGGCTTTTGTGATTCAAGTTGATGCCTATGATGTGGGTGTGGGTGCTGTGTTGCTACAGTTTGGAAAAGGTATACTACACCCAGTTTGCTTCCAGTGTGAAACTAAAACCGCATCAGTGTGGTTATGCCACGATAGAAAAGGAGACTTTGGGGCTTTCGTTGTCTTTAGAAAAGTTTGCATAGTATGTTGAGGGTTCACCATATACTGTAGAGGTGTACACTGTAGGGTTGCTCATTTTTGCCAATTTTAGAAAATTGTGGGTGGGGGTGTTTTTTCCCATTATTTCGTTACTCCTAAATTCATTGGTGCCAGAATTAATGAAATCCAACATGTTCTAGGGGCCGCGAATCTAAATATAAAAAGTGAATTTTTGCGAAAAAACGTCAAAACTCAAGCTTTTTCTCTTATAGATCAGCAATCGCGCTGCTTTTCACTACTTAACCCTAATGGCTGGCTAGAGCAGCTATTCAGCTTTCCATTGACACCTAATTCGATTGCATGCACCTCTTAGTTGACCTTCTAGTTTAGGTCAAAGGCTTTACCTGCGTTAAGGGAACCAGATTCCAAAATATTCATAGTTTTGACTTTTCCATTTATTCGAAAACACATATCAATATTTTGCCGTCACAGTCTTTTCCATGATATATTTCCCTCTTAAAAAAACAAACATCATTGAAATAGGTCAATAACTCTAGGAGGAGATGCAATTTGAAAGTTCAATCCCCCCTCTATTCAACTCTCACAGTTGCATCAGAGCAGACTTGCTGAAGCCACTCATCTGCTTCCTGTGCTTTTCCACAAGTTGCATGACATCCTGCAGCTGCTGCTCATCCTTCGTGACTGAACCAATGAAGTCCTGCATAAGCTTTATTCCCCTTTCGGCCACGTCATTGGTTACCTTCAGGCTTCTGGAGAAATCTTTCAGCTTCATGAACTCTTCGTTTTTCTCCCAGTCTTCCACCGGTGACATCAGCCATGCTGTGCCGCACACATGATGCTCCTTGAAGATCATCCATGAACGTTCATCTATCAGGTCGGAAAGCCGTGTAGTCTGTTGGATGACCAAGTTGTCGTTGGCGTAGTCGTTCGTTTCTTCTAGGCAGCTCAATTTGGTCGCCATCTCCTTTTTCTCTGCCGCACTCAACTTCTCGCTGCACAGCGACAGAACGATGGTCTGTGGCCTTAGATACCACAGGTGGCGGCTCGCGACCGCCAGCGCCGCATCAGCCACCTCACAGTCCACGGCCCTGTAGCGGAGGAGTTCGTGATGCAGTTGCAGGTCATTCACAGGCGCATCCTCGGCTACTGGTGATTTCAGCCACGCCGGTGTGTACAGCAGAGACAAAAAGATCGCCATCCTCTGCAGCTTGACGCACAGGTCACTGCTGAGCTCTAGCTGGCGGCTAAACATGTAGATCTTGAGGTAGTATATGATCTTCGCCATCAAGCGAGCGTGGTGACATGCGCCAGGACGCAGAAAGTGCGTGCCGCGCGGAGGATTCACACCGAGGACGAGGAGCGTTAGTTCTGCCGCTTCTCGGTAATCCTCTCTGGCCCATTCTGTGACGGTCAGCAGGTAGCTAACGGTCCTGTGTCGGAGGTGACTGAGCCAGTCAGACTCTGGTAGATTTGAAATGTCCAGCCTGAGATACTGAGAGTGATCTAGTTGACTCCACCTTTTCTTAAGAGTCTGGAAGAGAGGGTCCGTAGGGGCCGATGTTTTGCCGAAGATGTTGCTGGCAGCGGTTCTCACCACCAGTTCCATGACGTGGTGTCTGCACCCAAGCCTCAACAGATGTTTTTCCAGCAGCGCCTCCAGATGGACAACCGCACCTTGGACTCGCCCTGTGTTGGACGACGTTGTATCAAAGCACAGTGCCTTGACGTTTGAAGCGCAGCTCCAGTCCTCGATAGCACGAGCTGTTGCGCGTGCCTGGGTCAGGCCAGTGCCGTCCTTCACTGGCAAGACAGCAAGCAGCTTCCCTTCCTCATGGCCGCGCCCTGAGATGAAGATGGCCTGTCGGTGTTCTTCTTCTCCCACGACGTTCTGAAATAAGAGAAATATAAAAATTCAGACAGATAATGAAGAATTATCAAGGCTGCCTTTTTCTCCAAGCTTTTTGTTAATGATTTGATACATTTCTAACAATATATTACAATAGTCTAGGCTTTGGTAAAATATTAATGTAGTACCTAAACGTGTTCTCACCTTAACCAGCTTACCATCCCAGTGCACCACTGCATGTGGTGGAGGCGTGAAGGCTTCCCTTTGTGCGGCAGCTACCTGACGACGGTGTGAAGCTCGCGCCCGTCTCGCAGTCTCTCTCGAGATCCGGAACTCAGACAGATCGCCTGGCGGGTTAGCAGAGCGCAGCACTGCTGCGACCACCGAAACTATCTGCGAGCAAAAGCAGGCAAGGGTGTCAGTAGAAAATGTCGACTGTTTAAGTGCTTATCAAATAATTAACAGAAATTTCAAACATTCCTAACACATTTATGGATACACTTACTTCGTTATTGGATATCCGAAGACGGTCAGCGAGTTCCTTTAATGCTGGCTCTTGGAGAATGCGACGTGGAAGCTGAACCGTCACATAAGGGTGCTTTGATGTGTACCTGCCAGGTTGTATCGCTGTGTCCTTTTTCTCCATTTCTACTTCCGTTGGGGTGTCAGACACCACAGAGGTTTGAGGTCTCGAATCACTGCTGCTTGGTTCACAGGCTGCGAACCTTCCCTGTTTCGACCTTTGCTTCTCGACTCGTTCCTCCTGCTTTCTCTTCTTAGCGGCAAAAATCTTATCGTTACCACTCATGAACGCTTTTCTTTCTCCGCGTTGGTCTTGATAGAAGGCGATGTCTTGTTGTTTGTCGGCCGGTGTAAGCAGCCGGTTCTTCTCGATGTCCTCTACGGCGTCCGGTGCTCCGATGTCCCACAACAGGTCAAGTTGAGACTTGAAGTTTTCAACCTTGTCCTTTGCAGCCCTGTCCCGACTTTTTTGTAGACTTCTCCAGTGCTCCCATAACCTTGTCAGCTTCTCCCGGCACCCCCTCTCTGAGATAGTCTTGATGCGAGCTAAATTCCAGAACGTGAGTACGTTTCTCACTGTTTCTTTAAACGTCTCCTGTCTGTCACCAGATTCATTCACTGTGTGAAAGAAGAACTTCAGGACTTGACGCATCGTCGGGAGTTTACTGCCTCTAATTGACGATGCTGGCTGGCCTACTAGATAGATTTCAGTGGCAGAACGGGTAGTGGATGATGTTGGCCTGACAGTCCCCTTAGCATTCTCCCCCGACTGCGACTCACTCTCTTCCATGATTGTATGTATATAAACAGATGAACTCTGTAAGAAAAAAACGTTTTGTAATAAAACAAAATAGGCAAACAAAATAGGGTCACATAAGAGCAATTTAATCACCTGTAGAAAATACAACATAAATAGATAACCATAAATTTACTGCCACACTATATAGCAGATTTGAGTAAATTATAAAATAACACCACAGTACCAACAACAACACAACACATGTCAAAACACTGCAAAGAAGCGCAGGGTTTTAAAGCTGCCAATGTGAACCTAGTGAATTTATAACTCCGTTAACGCAGGTTGGCTACAGCCTTTGACCTGACTTAGAAGGTCAAATAAGAGGTGCATCCAATCGAATTAGGTGTCAATGGAAAGCTGAATAGCTGCTCTAGCCAGCCATTAGGGTTAAGTAGTGAAAAGCAGCGCGATTGCTGATCTATAAGAGAAAAAGCTTGAGTTTTGACGTTTTTTCGCAAAAATTCATTTTTTATATTTGGATTCGTGACCCCTAGAACATGTTGGATTTAATTAATTCTGGCACCAATGAATTCAGGAGTAACAAAATAATGGGAAAAAACACCCCCACCCACAATTTTAAAAAAGTGTGAAAAAATGAGCAACCCTAGACTGTACACAGATCATAATCCTTTACAATTTGTAGAGAGGATGATATATAAAAATCAAAAGTTACTTAGGCGGGCTTTAGCACTGCAGCTCTTCAATATTGAAGTGAAACATATTAGAGGGAAATACAATCTTTTGGCAGACACCCTGTACCTTGATGTATAAAAGTTTTCTTCTTTTGTTCATAAACTTTTTGTTAAGGGGGGGAGGGGATGTTACGAGCAAAAGCCATTAGTAGTTTCGGATGGTGTTTCGGTGGCTTGGGCAGCATCAACTGAGCCCTTATTTAATTATTATCTCTGTTTAATACATTGCATTATGTTTATTGTATTGTTTTATTATAATAGGTTTGTATATAGGTTAGATAAGTGGAACTAATGTCAATGGGTAATATAAATAAAGTTTACGTTTTGGCCAATCAGGATATAGGACGTTAATATTTGGCGGTAGAGAGGTGATGTCGGTGACCTACTGGTACACTCTAGTCAGTCTAGGCACAGTTGTCTTAAGTTAAGTAGTATGCCCTCTCCCTGGTGTTTTGGGAGTTGGCATTTGACTATTGAGATTTGTTTTGCTTGATATTGATTTTGTGTGATCTTGTTGGACCTTCAGTCCTTACGCAGCGACTTCCAAACATCTTGTCGTATTATTATTGTCATTTATTTTATTTTATGTACAAATGTGGTGGTCGGAATAAGTTAATAAATGTTCATATTTTTATTGATTTGTTTAGGTTTTCACCTGTTAACTTGACCATTGTTGGGAGAACTTGGGATTAAGACTATAATAATAAATACTGAAATATTTGAAAGATTTAAGTGATTTGTTTTTATGGAACGGTCTACCCTTGGGTCGTAACAGCGCACTTGTTAGCAGCTAAGGTTTAGGAGTTTGGCTGGACACCAATATCGGTGTAATGGTGTGTCATAAATTGTTGTGGCGTCCCCCTGCACACCTTCCACAGACTTTCCTAGTATTGCGTCATATCTTTAATAAATATAACACATTAACGACGTCACCAAATGAATAAAACAATGTATGTTTAATGCAACATAACGCAACTGTAGTCTTAAAACATGTGGGAAGTTTTCATGGCAGATATCGGTGGTAAGAGTTGAGGTGTGATGGTAGTTCAGGGAGGCGGCACCCAACTTACGCTAATGGTCACCCCACTTCGAATTTTTTACTTTATATGATATTATTCATTATTTCTCTGATTGTATTGATCTAATTACTTTCTTTTACCTGTACAAAGAATGAAGCTGTACTGTTTCAGAAAACATCGGGACAAACTCACAGTTGCTAATGGTTAGCGATAACATACAGTATAGTACAAGCCATGACGCTCAATAGTGACTTATTTACGGCTTCCTCTGGGTAAAAGTTTCCGGGTCTTGTTCCCGGACCTACCCAACACTACTCTTAACATTAATGTTAAAGGGAAAAGAGTCGTCGTGGTCGGGAAAAATAGTAAATAAAAAGTAATGTGTCCTCACGCTACTGTCAGCGTCCAGTAATACTGATAAATGTATGAACTAAGTCTTGTTATATCTGCTGTTGTCTGAAGTTAAGGCAATAGTGAGGCTTGTGTTCTGTGTACGTAGGTTTTCTGTAAATGGAAGTAGTGAAGGTATTGTTTGATCTTTCTATCTTGATGTCTAGAAATGGAAGTTTGTTATTGTTCACACTCAGAGGTGGTGTGTGGAATACAAGTAGCCTAAGAATATTGGGATGTGTTGAGCCCACTTATAGCTTAAAAATGTCATGCACGTATCGTTTATGCAGGGTGTTTCAGAAATACGTGTCATAGTTCTGGGGGGGTGTATTCCTGAGACATACTGCACATAAGGATAAATGACATCATGATCATAGGTTCAGAGTTATAACTTATAACGCATGACAGTTGGGGGTTATAGTGTGATAAAAATCGACGGAGTATAAACGAAACATCTCGTGTTGCTATTACAATTTGTTTAAAATCATATGCAATCTGATATGGATTTTACAGTAAATGTTAAAAATTTCGGCCCACTACTTGACTGCAGACTTCAGCCCGTCACTAAAGTGACTCGTGCATGTTCGAAGAGTCCAGGGGTGTTGCTAATGGTTGTGGCACAATTCCTCATGAGTCGGGACCTTTGCAGCATACACTTTGCTTTTAACGTGACCCCCCAGGTAGACGCCAAGGGAATTTAGGTCAGGTGATAGAGTTGGCTTTGGAACAGGGCCGTGGCGTCACGCTCTATCTACCTGTCAGGTTACCCAACATTTACAAGTTCCATTGTTACTCGAGCAAAATGAGTTGAGGCACCATCATGCTCGTACCACAGTTGTTGACGTCCCCTGATGGGCACATCCTCAAGCACTACTTACAAGATGTACCCAAGAAAATGTGTTTTATGTTTTACCTGTCAGTCGCTGGGGCAGCAGATAAGGACCAATGATGCCTGCCCAAACATTGATTGCGAATCGTACCTAATGAAATGTACGTGTCACTGCATGTGGATTGTCAACAGACCCACTCGACGTTACCATTTACTTTAAATAGGGTTTGATATTTTATGTCCTCTCCTACCCAATTTTGTGGTATAATAACTCCGAAACTGCGGGATATTGACACTATGGTCAGGGAATCATTTATCCTTGTATATGTATCAGGAATAACCACCCCCCTTTTAATTATGAAACGTGTGTGGGCCCTTGGAGGGACCCATAACTCGCGCCCACTCAACCATCATCAAAACATCCCGGAGGAAAGACGTTTACTACAACTTGTGGTGTTCCTCCTGACTCCTGCTGTAGGTCCCTCTGACAAGTAATCAAAATTTGGTCAATTTTTCACAACTACCAGACAGCGGCTAGTGAGCCCTATTCCTCCCCACACCTGCTCATGTGTCTTTACCACCACACATGTTGACGTGTCCTGGCTACCCAACCACACCTGCTGATGTATCTTGGCCACCCCCACACCTGCTGATGTATCTTGAACCTACCCCACACCTGCTGATGTATCCTGGCAACCCCCACATGTGTTGATGTATCTTGGCCACCAGCACACCTGCTGATGATGTATCTTGGCCACCCCCACACTTGCTGATGTTCCTTGATCACCCCCACACCTGCTGATGCATCGCCATGACCACCACCAGACGTGCCAATGTATCTTGATGGCCACCCCCACACCTGCTGATGTGTCTTGATGATCACCCCCACACCTGCTGATGTTGCTTGATCATCACCCCCACACCTGCTGATGTATCTCCAAGACCACCACCACACCTGCTGATGTATCTCCATGACCACCACCACACCTGCTGATGTATCTTGATGGC